TATTTTATTATTCTATTTCAGTTTGCTCATTTTAATAAGGTGGTTTTCAAAGAACACTTCATATTCACAACACAAATGGAAAAACCAGTGGTTTGTCACAGAGTTACTACTAAAACTATGTCCATAATCCATGAATATAAATCAAATCTTGTGCTTTCAAATTCTAGTTTAATACTTCCTTTCAGAACAGAGTGTGAAATGAATGACTAATGGGGACATATGGAGCTTATATTAGCATCAAACTGGGGTTTCCTTTCTTTTTCTAGAAGGAAATGAAAGGATAGCTATACTCAGTAAAGGTGGGTGTCTCTCTTCAATGTGTGTTTTAAGTAAAGTTAAAGTGGCCAAGCAAGCCTCATGTTCTCCTCCCAGGACATTTTTGAATCACACTTGCCTAATGCAAGCTTTCCTTTTCTTGGAAGACATTATTGCTTTAGAGTTGTACACTATGGTGTGTGTGTTCATGTGTGTGTATGTTTCTGTGTGTCTGTGTGTGTGTCTTTGTCTGGAATCACCCAGGGCTTCGAGCGTGCTGGTGCAGTACTCTACCACTGAGCCGCATCCCAGACTGCCCTGAGCTCTCTCTGTACATGCAGAGAGTCATACCTGTGTGGCCTCCACTTCCCTTCTGAACCTCCCATACTTTCCATGCTTGCTCCCTGAGATGACTGGACCCTTGGCCATGGGCTTGTTGAGTTCCTGGCACTGTGCCTTTGGTTACAGTTTCCTTCAGCCTCACCAGTTGGCCCTGTTAGCATCCTGGGTGAGCAGGGAGGCACCCCGAGGCACAGAGAATTGAATAGTTTGCTCTGGTCACAGTCTTTCATAAGACATTCTATGGTCCACCTTTGCTCCACTCTGTTTCAAAACCGTGCTATCTCCAGGGGCCATCAGAAAGTTGTCACAAGATAGCTCGGAAAGTCACTATTTTTGGAGGGGTGTATACTATGGGCTTGCTGGGTGTCTGGTGAGAAATTCCCTAAGATGAAAACGAGATTAATGCCTCAGATTATACAGTTTCCTAATTATGTCTCTCATTATTCATGTAAAAGAAGTAAAATGACCCCTGACAGAGACATAAACGACTTAGGGAAAAATCAAGTATTTAGAGGATGATGCTGAGTCCCTGGGTGTGCTCTAACAGATGCACTCAAAATCTTTGCTTCCATGCTTCTGAAAAGCGATGTTTCCTACGTAGAATTGATAGCGGGCTAAGAATAAGCTACAGAATTGAAGACACGGACGCTGCCGAGCTAGTGCCTGGTTGTTTTGACATTGGAATGAAGGCATTCAGAGGTGTCATAGAACACTCCAGAAGAAATCTTATAATGGCTTTATACCCATCAATTTCAAAATAATTTTATAAACCTATTAACTTCATAATAATTTAGATATTTTATCGTCCGATATATTGTATTTGAGATTTTTTTGGACTGACAGGCCATCTGTCTGTTTTTATACTTTCAAATGACTCAAAAATAAAAAGGGGCCTTGAGAGATGGCTCCGTGGGTAAAGTGCTTGGGTTACAAGCCTAAGGATCTGACTTTGCATCCCCAGTACCTTTGTAAATAGCCAGATGATGTGACACTTGTTTGTAATCCCAGTACTAGGAGGCAGAGACTAGAAGATTCCAGGGCTCACTGGCCAGCCAGCCTGGCCAATAAATGAGCTCTAGGCTCAGTGAGAAAACTTGTCTCAAAAAAATAAACCTGCTGGGCATGGTGGTGCCCACATTTAATCCCAACACTCAGGAGGCAGAGGCAGGTGGATCTCTGAGATTTAGGACAACCTGGATTACATAGTGCCTTCTTGGCTACCTGAGCTCCTGTCTAAAAACAAAAAGCCCAGAGGGTTAGGGAGATGGTTCAGTGCTTAAGAGTATTGGCTGCTCTTGCAAAGAATGAGAGTTAGTTCTTAGCACCCCTATGGTGACTAACTCTAGTTCAAGACTTGCACTTATGTACATGAAGGAAAAACATTCATACACATAAAATTTAAAAGTAAATGAATGAAAGTTTTAGAAAATAACACCTGAGGGCTATTGAGGAAGACACCTGACATTGACCTCTGGTCTCCCTGTGCACACGTATGAGCATGCTCACCCACAAACCCCCGTGCTCACAGGCACACACCACATACCAAATAAAAAGTTGCCAACAACACAGTGGACAGTAGCAGGGATAACACAGTATAAAGGCTCTAGTGAAGGGAGGGAGGCTATGGGAGGGTACCATCTGGGAAGTGGGCGTATAGTTGAATAAGATGGTTTGGGATGTTCTGTGTAATGTATGTACATACAAAAAAAAATCAAATTTTAAAAAATGAATTATGTTTGAGGGGGAAGCATAAAAATTTATGTCATGTTAATTAGCAGAGGTGATAAACATTACCATTGAAATCTACCCGATGACTTTATAGACATACACAGGTGCCAAGGATCTGAGTGCAACTGATTATGACTAGTAATAATCAGATACATACAGATTAGAGATGCATGTACCAGCATCTCAGTATTATTAGCAAAAACAACGAGTCTTTCTATAAGAACAGTATATTTTATATGAAATGGAGATCTTTTTTAAAGGTTAAAAATTCATTCAATTTTATGTCTTACAGGGCTTATACTGAGTTCAGTATTGTATAACTGTATTAATTCAATAGCGAACCTAAACATTTTATAGCCACTTTTGAAAGAGATGTATCTTCGCTCTGGAAACTCTTATTGAGTATGTTAAAGCTGTAATGAAATGCTTCTTCTAAAAAGATGAAAAAAAATATATTAAAAAAGTTGCATAATACTTTGAGATACATGAGAATTACTTCAAATTCGAATTTCAGTGTGGTGAAATAAAGTCCTCTAAAATGTAGCCTCACTTGTTCATTTACATATAGTCTTGGCCTGCTTCCATCCTCCCAAGATTCCACCAGGGGCTCAATGCCCTGCAGAGCCTAAAATATTTACTAATGGCCCTTAACGGGAAAAGTGTGCCGACCTCTTTTCTAAAACGTGCCCCAAATAGAGCAAAACGAACAATGCCGTAGCTTGTTTAATTGGCACAAGAAACACTTGCTTTTACTTCATTTTTTCTCCTTTAATTCGCTGTCCCACTAATTGAACATTTATTGTGTATTTTTCAAAAGTTGGAGAACCACTGCCTTTTGAATGCAATAAAACAGGATTTATATGAGCAGGGTTCCTTCACTTGCTTTTAATGCTTCCTTTATATAGCAAAGTACTGAAACTAATTGCCCTGTTTCAGAAATGGGTCATTAGTCTAGTCCCTATCTTTTATGTAGAACTAATTTTCATGCAGGATTTCTTTCTGTGGCTCTGAGTGGGATCTCTAGGAAGAGGACACAGTGGTAACCTGAGCACTTTCCCATGGCTAACACGGGCTTGACTTTGGGTCCTAAGGCAATCAGTGTATTGGTTGGCAACTTGGATGCATGAAGCAGCCAATAAGAATTTCTTAAGTGAGCAAATGACACAATCTACTTTAGGAAAATAAAGAGTGTAAAGGATATAAAAGTGGAAACTGCTTGTGTGCATTTAGATATTACACTCATTTTCCAAAACTTTTTGTTAATATAAATCCAAGTTATTGAATTATTTTTCCTGGGGTTCAAGGAAGAGATGATTATTCTGAAGTTTGTGGTTTGCATTAGATGAGGTCCTTTATGCTGTGAATACTTTGATGGCTTATCCTGCAGTGACCATAGGAAATATAGTTATGTGCCAGTATTTTATCAACTTAGTGATCAGGTTGTACACTGTGCTTTCTTGGGCACGGTTAGTAAATGAGAAGAGTAACGTGCACACGCTTGGCTGGCTTGCCACTATTTTTCCTTTAATACTAGAAGAATGTCCAAATTCTTTTTCTTGATCTTTTGACCATGTTTGTTTGTTTGTTTGTTTGTTTGTTTGTTTTTTGACCAAAGAAACATGCATGTCTCATCCAGCTTCTTGTCTGTATTTCCCATCTCATTTCAGGTCTTGAATCATAGGGTAGCCCCAAGAATCAGTGCTTCAAAGGAGATCTCCTACTTTCCTGAGAGAGCTCCAAATTGTCCCACCCATTAAATGAAAGAGATTCTCCAGTCTCTCCCTGGGAACTGTCACTACGTGGACTGTTTTGGAAACTTTCACTGGGGAGATTCAAACAAATATCTACTCTCTCCTTATAGGAAAGCAGTGACAAACCATAATACAATTCCACTGAAGTCCAACTTGCTGAATCAATGAATTTATTAATCCATCTATTTGTTTATTGAAAACATTGTGTTATTTTTATTTTATGTGTCTGAGTGTATTTCTGCATGTGTGTAAGTGCATCCGTGTCATGAAATGCCCACAGAGGTCAGAAGAGGGCATTGCAGTTCCTGGAACTGGAATTACAGAGGGTTGTTAACTACCATGTAGGTGTTGGGAACCAAACCACTGAGCCATCTCTCCAGGCCCTTATTGTGCTATTTAATGAGCACAGGTGAGGGGTTACTTAAAGGAATGTTGATGACTCCCAAAGCAGAAGTCTCATCCCAGCTTGGATAATACGCCCCATAGCCACATAGATGGAGTTCCCACTTCAGATTATCTTCCTCTCGGTACTTTCCCTTGCACGTCCTCAGTCCTGGGGGCCATCTGTCATTAGGGCAGAATGACATACTTGTGGTGGCAAGGTTTAGGAGGGAGAGGCTGAAACCTCAGGTGAAGGGTCAATGACTCTCCTATTCCCAATCTCGGGGGCCTCTTGCAAGTAGTCATAGTCCTTCTGAAGATGATGGTTGTCAAGCTTGAAGGGTAGTGTTATATGACAAGAACCAACTGGCAACCCAGGAGCATTTGGTAGCAGCAGTGACTTAGTTTAACCAGGGTTGTGGTTTTGACTTCTCTCAGGGACACTGGGGAAGTAATCCACAGTGTCCTGAAGCAAAAGAAAAAACAACTTAAGTTTGGCTTTGAAACTCACTTTGTTTTCTTCCCTTCCCTTCCATTTGACAGTTGCCATCCTTCTGAAAGATGACTATTTTGTCAGTGGCGCTGGACTCCCTGGCAGATTCAAAGCTGAGAAGGTGGAGTTCCACTGGGGCCACAGCAACGGCTCAGCTGGCTCTGAACACAGTGTCAATGGCCGGAGGTTCCCTGTGGAGGTGAGAGAAACTGGAGGTCCCATGCCCAGGGGATTTGAATTGTTGGTTGCTATGTCTGTATCTCAGTGGACAGTCCCTGCTTTCCTCTGCCAGGAGACCCTGTGTTTATAGCATGGCAGGGGGCTGGCCACAATTCTCATCTTTTCAAGGTGGGGAACTGTAAAGAGGTCACAGGTACACTTCCCTTCCTGCTCAGTGAAGTCCATCATTTGTTCCCTTGACACAATTTCTTTTCCCTGTCCATCTCCTAAACCCTTCTTTCTGAAGCTAACTTTTCGTGTGAAGTTTGGATGACTTTGCTGTCACTCTTTAGAAAATGGAAAGACTAGTGACATAGGAAGCCAAGTCTCAGAACCTCCTCTCAGTGGTGAACTCGTTTGAAGCGTTTGTTTTTGTTGAGGTTTTCTATCTTTTATTTTGGTTCCTGCCAGCTGTTGAGACACAGGCTGTGAACGTTGCTGTTATCGGCCACTGTTAACTTTTGTTGAGACCAATAGTTAACACTTTATTCCTCAAACTTTTTGTGTCCATCTTCTCACCGAGCCAGGCTGCTGACCAGAGGTCCATGGTTGTGCAAGGTCAAATACAGATATGTAGGGTGAGAAAGGGGTCATGTTGTAACCAGCCCCACTAATGTCATTTGGGGATAGCATGTTGTGACTATTTCCTCATGGTCTGTATTTGAATATTATTCTATTGAGATCAGTGTTGTCTGGCTGGTTGGTTCACTGTGTGCTAACTTTGGGCAGATCAGACTGGTTGTGGCAGTCGTCCTTGTTTGTATAAAACAGGGAGTCCCTATGTAACGGGCTTGTTTAATCATAGGAGTTAGATGGCCAAGTGTCATTTTCAGCTCTAAACATCCCATAATCTGTGCCCTGATTTGATGATTTGGTGAATATTTGAGACCCCCTCCCCCTTCACAAAGAAAATCCGTGTATGTATACACACGGATTTAGATGTGATTTATAGGGTTTGGTCATATTTCCTCACTTCTCAAACCTGTGTATGAAACCTCTGGGTATACTTGGTGCTTCTAAGAGAACTTGTGTAAGATGAGAAAGTCATTGAATCTTCTTTGTAGATGCTTTGTAGATAGAGGGGACAACACACTCCCTCTGTTTCTCTTCCCATATGCTCAGAGCACAGATCACTTTGGCGCCCAGCATGTGTGAAGCCTTTACCCTAATGGTATGCATTCAGTTCTACTGGCATGTCTTGAAATCCATTCTTTTTTAACACTAGGGAGAATATGCAGAACTCACTAGAGATCTCACTCTCACCAGACAGTCTCTACTTCAGTGACAAGTGCAGGTCTCAGGAGCTTCTACCTGACCACCTACAGATTGGGTTTCACATGATCCCCTCCCCTCTGTACGTTTTTAATTTGTTAGCATGTCTTATGCCTATGAGGTTTTCAAATTAAAACATACATGACCTGAAGAAGCCTACACAAAATGTCAACGTGGCTGCTTGGGCAGCACAAGCCAACAAGGCCTGTGGTTTTAAATTCTTCTTGGCATCTCTGTGTTCCTTCTTCCTGATTAGAGAGCAGGACACAGTGGGGAGAAGGGGAGAGCAGTGTTTCTGACTCTCCTTGTGGAAGAAGGACCCTAGTTTTTACAGTCTGCCTTAGAGAATCAGGCCCCAGGAGCATACATGAAAACATGTACACACATGTCTAGACATATATGCAATAAGTCTATTATATATATACATATATTTTATATATTCTTCCTAGAGGCACCAGAAATGGCCACTCTGAGAAAGCACCTCATTTTTTTTTTCTCATGTGTTTAATCAGTTTACAGCATCAAAATCTGCCCTGCCCACCCCTATCCATGAGACTTACTGTCCTAGGCACTCTAATTATGTGTCTTAATGGGCCCTCCTCCACCCAGTGAATGGAATGACTCATTTCTTAGAAATCTTAGTTTTATTTGTACTTAGAAAACTTGCTTCCTAGAAGCAAACTTAACGTCATGTTTCTGATTGTGGTCATTCCCGTCTGGCCTTGCTGACCAGTTCCCATGGACAGTGGGAGTTCAAGGGGTGGCTTGTGTCCCGCCAGCTTTCCTGTGAAGCCTCTTTGTCCCTGAACTGGGTTGCCATTCATTTGGTTCATGTTGTTCTGGACAAAAGACCTGTGCTTGAAAGTTTGAAAACTTAATCTGGCAGTTGGCTTGGAAAACAAGGTCTCTTGCAGCAAGATGGGAAGTCAGGCTTCATTTGTAATCACACCCTGCTGTGCCAGGCCAGACTGTTCTGTTCACGCTTGTTTGTAATTGATACTCAGCATAGATGGACATTTCTTTTGAGACCTTATGACTCTTGAAGATGGTTTCAGTTTCCTATTACTTAAAGAGGGCCACCGAGCGCAGAGGCTAATTGGTGATGGCAGTTCCTGATGCCCAGACTTACAGTCTGACCAAGTTGTTTGGATTCTTTCCCTAGAGTGGCATCAGATGATAAAGGCTGTCCATATTAATTGAGTTCTTCATTGGAGCCCAGCTGGTTCATAGCTTGCTTCCTTAAAACGTGATAACACATTGAAATATTTAGCGATATATTTGGAGGTGCTTAAGTTACAAGGGTTAAAGGCAATGGGGTCCAATTTAACTTTAAAATATGCATGGGAAAGTTGCTCATAATGTCCCAAATGTGTCTGTCATATTTTATGATAGTTTGTGTTACTAGAGCTCTTTATCAACACTCACTCTTCCTGACATTCATATACCATTTGAACATCTCAGAATCAGCTTATTTATTTTTAACCACATCGTATTCCAAGAAAATTCTTAGTATATTTTAGAAAAACATCAATTAATAACAGGGACATTCTTTCTGTGTGTGCAATGAATGTATGATGGTGGCTCAATTTCCTGGAGTTCTTAGTTAGGGTCAGAGGCAAAGGAACCCTAACAAGGCAGACTCAGCTACCTGTCCTCTGATGGCCAATTAAACAAGTAATAAAAAGCAGAAAAAGAAGATTTACTGAGTATACAAACACCGGGAAGAACACAAAGGTCTATTGATTGTCCACATCCATGTTTGGGGTTCTGACAGGAGTTTTAGGGTTTCAAA